CGTGGTTTGCAGATTATCTATTGCGCATTGGTGGTGGAACGGAAGAGGTTAACGGAGATGGCAATGTACGTATTCCAGATGAGATATGTGTCCCGTACTTTGGAGATGCCGAGAAAGATCTTCATACATTGATCAACATCATCTTTCCAGATCTAAATGCAAACATGGCGGACAAAGACTACATCACCACCAGAGCGATTTTATCTACACGTAACGATTGGGTGGACATGATCAATATGAAAATGATTGATATGTTCCACGGCGGCGAGACGGTGTATCACAGTTTTGACTCCGCGGTAGATGATCCACATAACTACTATCCATCGGAGTTCCTTAATAGTTTGACCCCCAACGGGCTGCCTCCCCACGTCTTGAAGCTCAAACTTTGGTGTCCTGTCATATTGCTTAGGAATATTGACCCTGCCAATGGGCTATGCAATGGTACAAGGCTGGTGGTGCGGGGGTTCCGAAGAAATACAATCGATGCTGAAATCGTGGTGGGGCAGCATGCTGGGAAACGGGTATTCCTTCCTCGAATACCGCTATGCCCGTCTGATGACGAGATGTTCCTGTTCCAGTTTAAGAGAAAGCAGTTTCCTATCATGCTGATCTTTGCCATGACGGTCAACAAGTCACGGGACCAAACTATCCCGAACGTGGGTGTGTACCTACCCGCACCGGTGTTCTCTCACGGTCAATTGTACGTTGAGATATCTAGAGCCACGTCAAGAACCAATACTAAAATCCTTGCCCTCCCGCCTAATGCGGAGGCACAAGAGGAGGAGGCCAAAAAGATAGAGAAGAAAAATGCTAAAAAGAAAGCCGAGGAGAAAAAAAATAAGAATGCGTCAAATGAAAAAGATAAGGATAAGACGACCCCAATAGCGGATGGAACTTTCATGAAGAATATTGTATTTAAGGAGATTCTAACACCATAGGCGAGGTAACAGAACATTACTAACGCATACAATGTATTTTTTCCATTCAATTTATATTGTACAAATAATATCTCACTAATGCCATATTTGTTGTTGTTCCTAGATATTTTTAAATGGTTTATCAGACTCTACACGGAGATGTTGTATATACACTTATGTGATGGCATAATAAAAATTGAACGTGTGTTATATTATTGTTATAAAAATGACATTTTCAATGTTTTGTTCATAATATTTCGTTTTGTAACCATTCATAACTATTACACGTGTATGTTCTTAAAACCATGAGTTTTATCGACTTTCTCCACTTTTCTCATGTGCCAATGTGGGATCAACCGAATTAACACCCATTCATAACTATTACACGTGTATGTTCTTAAAACCATGAGTTTTATCGACTTTCTCCACTTTTCTCATGTGCCAATGTGGGATCAACCGAATTAACACCTGCATAATTACAAACATAAATTACTTGAATAAAACCAACGAAGCAAGTTAGCGATAATAATAAACAATAGTGCTAAACAACACCATACCAGTGGTCGTGGGATGGCACGATCGTAGTGGCGTTGGTTCCGCGCATTCACGAGGATAGCTCCTTTGTATTTTCCATTGTTGCATCAGGGTCATTAGTTTATGAGCACGAAAAAAATGGATATCGGAGATTTCTTTCTGCCAATATAAAACATTATCTTAGCCGCATCACGAAAAGGTCTATAAAGTAGAGTTTGTGAGCCTGCGACACCGCACACTTCGTGAGTGTGTTAAATTCATAAACTTTGCTTTTTAGATTAAATGTCACTTTAACGTTGGTATTTAATTTTTACAGTATTGTTATCTTATTGTGCGATCCGTATATTTTTAATATAAAATGTTAGTTATTTCGTAGCAACACATGAGCACGCTACCTAGTTTAGTATAAATTATTAGCTATCATGTAGCGACGTACGGGCACACTGCCTAGTACTTATATAAAGGCCAGAGGCTGACAGTGTCTGCTCGATCTGAGACATCGCTCGTCCATCTGACGGCAGCGCGCGCGCCTGCAAAATCATTCCCCGAGTGAGCCGAGCCTAGAAGACGATGCTGCCCCGCGTGCCAATCCGCCTCGCGCCGCCGCTCGCCGGCGCCCTTCGCGGCTTCGCGGCATTTGCGCCACCGCGCTGCCGCAATCCAAGCCCCCACCTGAACCCCTATCCTCGTCCGACCTGGACGCGATCTCCGCGCTCCTCCCGCGCCTCCTCTCCGCGGGCCACGTCCCCGCCGCCGGCCGCCTCCTCTCCGCGGCGCTCCTCCTCCCGGGCTCCCAGGATCGCCTGCCCCTCGATTCCCTCGCCGCGTACCTTGCCTCGCTTCCGACCCTCTCCCCCGCCTTTGCGCTCCTCACCGCGCTGCGCCACCACCCGGCCCGCCCCTCGCCGCTCCTGCTGGCGTCGCCGCTGCTCGGCAGCCTCCTCTCTCTGCGCCGCGCGCGCGACGCCTCCTCCGTGCTGCGCTGGCTCTGTCGCCCGGACTCCCCGCGCCGGCCCGACGCCGCCACCTACGCTGACGCTGTCGCGGGGCTCTGCCGCCTTGAGGACCCCAGGGCCGCGCTCGCCGCGCTCAGGGAGATGGCGACGGACGGGTTGCAGGCCACGCGGGAGCTGCGGGAGGCGGTGCGGGACGCGATGCTGCAGGACGCCAGGATCGAGGAAGCGTGGGCGCTGGAGGCGGCCATGCGCCAGCCGGAGGAGACAGGGAAGCTGGTGGAGCTGATCGACAAGCTTCTCTCAGCGTGGGAACCCTGAGCCGTTGGGGGTGAAGAACATTGCACGGATTGAGCTTTCGGTTTTCATAGATAGATTCTTGTCCTGTAATTGATGCCAAAGTTTTATGCTCGTGTACTTTGAATGCACTGCAACTGCAAGAAATTCCGGTGAACTCAGCAAAAAAAATTTCTTGAAATTGTTATGATATTGGATGGTCTTTGCGTAGTAAGATATTACTATCGAGTGGATTCAGTGTTGCCATGCAAGAACATAGCACAAACACTTTCGCATAATTCTATCAAGCAGTGTGATTACTGCCGCATTTGAGTTCATCAGACACCCAAATCATACCGGAGTGTTCATACTGTCATTTGTTTGGTGAATTGTTAGCACTTGCATCCACATAACAGCTACCGAAACAGCAGCAGACATGACTGCAAGTAGATGCTGTTGCTGTTGTGTATTTACAGTTTGAAATGTAATCCATGGTTGCTGTTGTGTATTTACAGTTTGAAATAAGTAATCCATAAATTTAGAAAGCATATGCCATGCCTTCTGATGGCAGCTGGTTGACTGTAGTCGACAATATGGCTTATCAAGGTGTTTCTGTTATGAATCGTATGCATATGACACACAGGAAAAAAACGTTCAATACACACTGTTTCAAATTCAAGAGAATTTTGGTAATTAATATAGGGAATTGCTAATTCTAGGCGACAATTATTGCATATATTTTATACTAAAATTTTAGTTTTAGTTCGCTGCAATTTATGTAGGCATAATATGTAAATTTTTTTGTTCTGAGAATAAAATACATGTTGGATAAAACCATAAACCTGACAAAATCTAATCCGTGTTGGTACAAAGACAATTAACAATTATTTTATAGTCAAACAAAACAAAATTTTGATATGCTATGACACAGAAACAATTAATAAATTACTAACATATCACAAAGAGGACAAATCACAAGAGGGCAAATCAAAAGAGGACTAAAAAATTAGGCGGGCGAGAGAAAATGAGGGAGCTGATAAATCTAGTGCCCTGCAAGTGGGTTTGTATAAAGATCCGATGGTAAAGCGAGCCCAATACAGAGAATACATCAACAGCAGCGCAAACTACGGCACGAGATCAGACAGACGAGCCGTCGGCTGAACAAACGAAGCGTTTCATCGACTGATATAGAGGAGACGTGATTAATATAATAGCGTCATTCTTCAAAACTATAGGCAAAGGGGACAGGATAGCCAGCTCCAGGGCGTGTTTGGAAATGCTTAAAATCAGATAGACAAATAAGACACAAACGTGATTAATATAATAGCATCGTTCTTCAAAACTATAGGCAAAGGGGACAGGATAGCCAGCCCTAGGGCGTGTTTGGAACCGCTTAAAATCAAATAGACAAATTAGACATGATAGCTGGCTACGAAGCCTACGATGGGCAAACACCCTTAAAATCAAATAGATAAATGAGACACAAACGTGATTAATATAACAGCGTCATTCTTCAAAACTATAGGCAAAGGGGACAGGATAGCTGGCTACAGGGCATGTTTGGAACCCCTTAAAATCAAATTAAATAAAATGAGACCGGATAGCTGGCTACGATCACCGAGCATCTGCGGTCGCTCAACTGTGAGAACCGAGAAAACCTCCACCGAAAACACACTGCGCGTTTTATGCACCGCAGGGTGGAGGCCGCGCGGTGGCCACGCCATGGTCCCAAACATAATTGCCGCATTCACTAAAACCCACGATAGCTTGCCACTGGGCAAGTCGTCTAGTCTCAGGAATTATGAGAAGCAAGCGCTCAAGATGGATTCGCAAGTCACTGATGTGATCATGCAGCAGAGCATCAACTTATTTGCGCACAAGCACAAAACAAACTGTCCGAAATCAAAATACAGACTTGCCTAATATCGAAATACTCTCTTGCACTGCTGCGCTCTTTTAAGCATCAGCTCCAGACCTCACTGAAAACCTAATTTTAAGTAACCAAAACATTCAGCTTTTCTTTAAGATGTACAGCATGTAAACTCTTCTGACCCAAATCTGCTCCATTTGCTTACAGAAGAGGGTAGAGACGAACACAGAAACCACTATCTCGCGCCTTCAAAGAGATCCAGCTCGGTTCCTTAACTAAAAACCACCGAACGAGCACTATCCCCAGCAGACAGTCCGCATCAAGCACAAGAACTTTTTCTTCCTCGAGCGACCATGATGATAGTCAAGCCAGCCACGTCAAAACTGATGCATTAGGAACCGCAAAATTTGAAGTAAATAGTTGTAAATCCTTGATCCATCCACTGATGCCCTAAGCATGCACACCATTGCCATTGGCATAGTATGTTCCGTTTGAGAGACCATTGGCAAGCTTCTTTGGGTGTCCATTTTGGTGTACTGTGGATGTATATGAGCCATTGCTCAGAACATGTTTAGCTGCAACAACATGACCATTGCTGCAGTCTTGCAGCACCCTATCCAGCTGCCCAGATGCAGCCGCAATTAGTCCTGCAGAAACATAAATTTGGTTATGATATATTCCATGGAATAGTACAGCACAAATGTTTGTGAAGTGAAAAGGTACAAAGTTTTCAGCATCAGATAGCATCTTACCCACAAATAGGGGAGAAGGTTTTGAAGGTCTTGACTTGAACTCAGGATGGAATTGAGCGCCAACAAAATATCGGTGGTTGGGTATTTCAATAATCTAGAACATAGCAAGTTGGTTAAGAGACAAATTTCATGAAAATAAAAATTGTAAAGCAAGTCTCAGTACGACTCAGACCTCCATCCTTCTTCCAGTATCATCTTTGCCAACAAACTGAAGTCCAGCATTTTCGAACTCTGGAACCATATCAGGGTTAACCTGAGAAGACAAAATTTCAGTCCAAAGAACATGCAAAATGTAGGAACAACATAACAGACAGAAGGACCATAGCATTTAAATGCACATTTAGGAAACTGGTGAACTTCAATAAACAGACCTCATATCTGTGGCGATGCCTTTCATCAACATAAGTGACATTGCCATACCTAAAAAGGTCAAAATAATCAATGACTGGATAGGTTATAAAACTACACAAAGAATTCAAGGAGAAACTTTATTGAAGGGGTACAATGAAAATTAAGAAGGGTCTATATGCAACTCACAATTTAGAAGACTTGCAATCAGCAATCTTGAAAAATGTCCTCCTTGATCCTAAGCGCATTGTCGCACCCATATGTGTTTTGGAACCCTACAAATTAAATTCCAAGATAAACTGTAACAAACTGACAAAAGGTTGCTCATTGCCATCGAAACAGATCAGTGTGAAGCCTAATTCAAAACAATGCAAACCCATTAACAATTACCTCAGGCATAAAAATAACACAAGGGGTCTTAGTATTTGGATCAAATTCAGTGCTGTTCGCATCAGTGAGATTCATGACATGACGAGCATACTCCACCACAGCAATCTGCATCCCAAGACATATACCAAGATACGGGACATTCTTTTCACGGGCATACTTAGCAGCCAAAATTTTCCCTTGAACACCTCTGTCACCAAAGCCACCAGGTACCACAATTCCATCTGCCCCCTGTAATGAAAACTCTTGTAATCACGATACTCAGAAATCAAATGTGATATGACTCCAATTTTCCATATCCTAAAAACAGTCCATTTGATAATAACTTACCTTCAATAAATTCCACGCTGTTTTATATGCATCAGGTGCCTAGAAAGTTTAGAAAGAGCCAAGTAAAAAAACGATTCACCTCAAGACTTAGCACATTGAATACTAAACTACTGTGCCAAACCTCAATTGCTGTGGAGTCCTCAAGATCCGTTGAAGCAACCCAATCAACAACAAGCTTCCTGCGGCAATCAACAGATGCATGCAAGAGGGCCTGCAAATTTTTGCATGACACAATAGTTAGGCAACAGAATTCACATTTGGAAACATAAAAAAACATCAATGCACTGAACAAGTTGGCAAGCTCACTTTCAACACAGAGAGGTATGAATCTGATAGGCCAGTGTACTTCCCAACCATAGCAATTCTCACCTGAAATAATCACCGTTAGTTGCATGGAACTAAGGATGAAAAAATTTCCTCTAGCAAGGGACTGACTGAGGAGAAAACACTAACAGTGTCATGAAGGGTATCAAATATAGTAGCTCTTGCAACCCATTCGTCTAACTTTGGCTCTCGAGCGATGCTGGAAATGTTATAAAAAATTACTTTCTGGCACAAAGCAATGTCACATATTGCAGAGAACATACTAACTAGATAGTTCAAGACCAACCTATCCACCCTTTCCAGATTCAGAACTTTAAGAATAGCCTCATGAGCCTTTTGGTCCTGCAGGGCACAAATGACATTTTAACACAGAATGTGAATTCCAAAACACAGAAATGACTTTCAGTCCAAAGAAAATAGAAGTGCCTTACCCGTAGCAACAAAGGTATGCGCCAGATATTGGAAACATCATACAAAGTGATAATATTTGCTGCCTGCAAAAACAAATGATGAATTAGCTTCCTGGAGTGAAGTTGCTACAGCATATGAAGCTTTGAATGAAAATGTTTCCCTACCGGCACATGGCAAAACTGGGAGAGTTTCTCCTTCACATTATCCTCTAACTCCTGTTACACAGTTTCAATTATAAGTAGTGTTAAGGAACTCAGTAAAGGTCATATTCTACCAATGTAAAAAAATTAGTTTGATAACTAACCTTAGTACTGCGGCAAGCTAAAATATTTGGGGTGAGCCCGAGTCCCCTCAAACCACGTACGCTATGCTGGGTTGGCTTTGTTTTCTACATGAGCAAGCAACATAGGTCAAGAATAAAGTCAGTGGAGCCAAACAGATTTATTCAAACCATAACTTTTATGATTGGTTAATAAACATTAGAACATAACTAATGACCAAGAATACCTGCTCACCAACAACATTCAAAACTGGAACTAGACTGACATGCACCAGGCAGAAGTTGCCAGGACCTGTCAAGTGTCAACCAAAATAGCATAAAAATAAGATCATCGATCCTACTTACTAGCAGAAGATAGACTGGAGATTGTATGCGTCATAATAAGTGTGAAGTTTCTCACCAACACGATAAGAGAACTGACCCAAAGCTTCAATAAATGGCATGGATTCAATATCGCCTGCAGGTGTTCAGAATACAATCAATAACAGGAAAACCAGCTATAAAATGTCTACTGTGAACAGCTATTGACCCAAAAAGAAAAAAAAAAGGAAATGGTATGGTTATCTCATGCCACCTATAGTGCCCCCCAGTTCTATCACACAGACATCAGCAGGTCCCTCCTTGCCATCAACTGGTATCATAGCAACACGCTCGATCCACTCCTGTATGGCATTTGTGATGTGTGGCACAACCTTAAAAGTAAAATCATTTGGGCGATCAGTTCTAGAACAAGAACACAAGCAGAAGTTCCAAGACAGATGAAACAAACGCGAGTCCACAAAACATGATCCAAATACCTGGACAGTCTTTCCCAAGTATTCCCCTTTCCTCTCCTTGTCAATTACAGACTGGCATAAACCATTGAAAAATATAAGAAAAAAAATAAGGCAGCCCTTTATGCAGGGAAAAGCAACTGTGTTTTCAATGTCTCATATACGACATGTTCATTGCTACATATATCCTTGTGATTAATTGTTTTCTCCTTACATTCTTAAGATACTCAAATAACATAAAGACAACAAGGATGTCACCCCCCCAAAATTTAGTACAAGATGTCAACACCAACATCAAGTGAACTATTTCATGTTCTGAATATTTGTATGACGAAGAATGACGTTATATGGCTAGTTAACAAACTGAAGTTATGATTATAGAATTTTAAACACATATACCAATTCTTCAACCTGATAGATCTTTCCGGTGGTTATATTATTGTCCCGAGTAAGTTTAATGTCCAGAAACCTCTCGTAATTACCAAGATCCAAGTCCACCTAAAAGACGCAAAATAAGTACTTAAATCAGATGGGCTAACAAGCGCTTTGCCTGGCAAAATTTGACTTTGTGACATGTCAATATCAATACCTCACCACCATCATCCAGCACGAACACTTCACCATGTTCGAATGGAGACATAGTTCCAGCATCGGTGTTAAGGTAAGGATCTGCATATTCAGGTAATTCAATGAGAACATGTCAACCACATGAAGACAAACACAAGCAACTAAAGCATTAATGCAAGTAATAGCTGGCTTGCACCACCGATTTTACAAGGCAAAGGCCACAATCAGAGCACAAGTGCAACAATAATACAAAGAGTGACAAGGCAACAACAGCAAAAACAAAGAAGGGTTTAGGTAGCACTGGATAAGAATAAGTATGGGCAAACAAAACATGTAACATTAGTTTGAATTAAGTCAAATGATTCCACAGTGCGGAGCTGGCATCCATAGGTTTGTGGCCTGACTATAACTAAATCAGCATTGGTGTCACGTGATATCTAAATCAGCATAGGCAAGCCCTCCATAGCATAATCTATCTGGAAGACAGAGACAAGCATGGGAGGTGAAACCTAGTCTTCTCCAACTACCTTTTCCATGGCCACAGCATCGAGAACCAAAATAGTCGGAAAAAAAAAACGTCGAGAACCAAAAAATGTGCGCAACTAATGAGAGACGAAGCAAATTTATGGGCATCCAACAAAGGCATATTTCTTGTCCCAAACATGAACGCAAGCCCTTTCTGTAAAAACAAATACTAAAGAGAACAAAATGCCAGAGGCACTTGCCCAAGCATAAGAGCTGACCAACAACCAGTGAAGTAAAATAAATCACAAGGTTCTAGAATATCAGGCAAATCATGAATGAACCACCATTGCTCAAACTCCAAGGCTTTATGGCTTAAGCAGAAGAATTCCTAAACACCACTACAAAGTCAAAAGAAGGTGCCATCCCTCCATAAATATAATCTTCTCCTAAACAAGAGGAAGGGAAACCCCCTTTGCACAAAGGGTAACCCTGAGTAGGTGCCCACCAATTATAAAGCAATCTTTGAAGGAAAAGAAGTACAACCTCTTTCACTGACAAGATTGGCAAACTTATCATGAAAATCAAAGACCAGTTTGACACCATATCATCCAAACCCAAGGCACCAACGAATACAACGGCAATAGCACTGAGCGGAAGGTTCAAAAGAGGGACTTTTCACCTAAACTCGACCAGGAACCCGGGTCCTCCGCACACCAACTCCCACCCACAGTCCCCGCCACGAGTATCGCTCCAAAACCAAATCTTTTGCCGACCCATATTGCCGGAACGGATCGAGGGCTCAGAGCCACCCCCGACCCTCGGTCGAATCCCCCAGCGCAACCCTAACGCGCCGTTCCTGGTCCGAAAATGTGTCTTTTGAAACGGAAGGAAGAGAAGGCGGCGGCGGCGGGCACGTACCGATCTTAATGGACGTAATGCGGAGGCCGCACGCCTTGAGGATGACGCCGATGCTGCTGGCCGTGACGCCCTTGCCCAGGCCGCTAACCACCCCGCCGGTGACAAGGACGTACTTCATTTCGCCTTGTCCGGGAATCTCGGGCCCGACAAATCCGCCGCCGCCGCCGCCGCCGCCCACCCTCCTCCTCAATCCCCCGACCAGCGCGACAGTTCTTGGCAAGGAAACCGCGCGCTCGCACGGACACACGAGCTGGAGGTGCGCGCGGGGAAGGGAGGTTTTAGGAGGTGAGAGGGAAGAGAAGGGAGTGGGGAGGCAATGGAGGCAAGGCGGCTGGGGGGATAGAGGGAGGAGGGCTTTGGAAAGAGAGGGGGCCATTTATACGCCCAAAAATCCCTCAATTCTCACGATTTTTTTCCCCGACTGCCCTTTTATGCATCTTCTGGGCTCGGCCGGTTAGGTTTAAAACGGCACGTCGAGGCCCATACAGTCTATCGTATATGTGACATGCGGTAAGGGCCCGTCCAGGATGGTTTCTATTTCTATTAATTAGCTTGTCATACAGACATTTTGCTAACGTGGCAGCCAATTTAACGGGGAGAGAAGAAAAAAAAACTAGAAACGCCGTCCAACTTAGAAACGACGTCCACAAGCGTGACGAGGCAGTCGAAACCATCGCATACAGCGTTGGGAAGGAGGGCTCCGTGAAGAGACCGTGACGTCTTAGAGGGGATGAATTAGGCAATTTAAAACTTCAACTCTAAACTATGGCCTCTTTTGCTAACCTTAGCAAAACATATATAAAGGATAAACTATCTAAATGTACAACTATGATTTTGCTAGTGTGTTGCTATCTCTACCGCAAAAAGGAGTAATACAAGTAATGTAAATGCGGAAGCTAAAGAGCAAGGTAAAGATATGCAAACTCCCATCGACGACTCCGGTATTTTTATCGAGTTATCGAGAAGCGCGCAAGCTTTTCCCTAATCCTCATTGGAGCCCTTTGTAAGGAATCCCTCGCAAGGGCCAAGCTCCCGGTCGGATAACTCCGTGGATAGCCTCGGGCATTCCCCACGCGCAAGTGGGTCTCCGACGTGCCTTCCGGCAAGCCTCTCCCGGATGCTCCTCGCCATCTTCACTATCAAGCTTCCTGTCGAAACGCCGCGGGCCTTGTTCCCTCCGGTACACGATGACGGCCACACCACAAAGGCGGTTGGTGTGATCTCGCAAGACTTCAAGCCCCTCCGATGTACAACACTTGTGCTCGCAAGCACGGGTGGCAAGAGGTATGCAAACCTCACTAAAAACTAGGCATAAACCTATAGCAAGCGCATAAGCGGTGGTCTAATCAACCTAAGCACTTCGCAAAGCACTTATGCTAATCACCTAATAAAACACTAAGTACTATACATATGGAGATCACTAAAATGGTGTATCAACACCCTTGGTATGTTTCCTCAGCTCCACACCCATCAAATGGCCGGTTGGGGGTTGTATTTATAAGCCCCACTGAGAAAATAGTCGTTGGGGTCGAACTCCCGCAATTTTGCTACTGATCGGACGCAGTCCAGCGTCCGGTCGCCTGCCACCGGACGCGTCCGGTCGCACATATGCCGCTCTAGAACCTTACTGTACTCGATCGGATGCTGTGTTCCTGCGTCCGGTCGGTTTCCGCCAGCGTCCGGTCCTCGCGTCCGGTCGCCTATCTGCCGAGTCTCCACCCAGCATCCGGTCGCAGCGTCCGGTCGCTTGTCTAGCGTCCGGTCCAGCGTCCGATCACCATAATGAGCTCGTTTCTTCGCGATCTTGCATACGGCTTGGTTCCGATCTTCATGCTTGGACTTTACTTGATCTCTTGGGTCTTCTCTTGTGCTCCTAAGGTCTTGCTTTAAGGTGTTGATCATCGAATCATCACGTCGCATTCGTCCAAGTCACGTCTTGCACCCTATTGGACTACAAAACAAACACTTACAAATTCATTAGTTCAATTTAGTTGTGTTGGTCATCAAACACCAAAATCCAAAGTAAATGAGCCAAGGGTCCATTTTCCTTACACTCCGTTTCCATCGGGGCGACTGGGGATCCTGTACGCACCACCGATGGAAGCTCGCATCACCGGTGAAGCAGAAGCACCGCTCGTGCGGCCGCCGCCGCGGACCTCGCACGGACGCCAATCCCCATTACGATGTTGCACGGACGCGACCTCCCTGCCGTCTGCACCGCGCGGCCCTTGCTCCTCATCGCCGCCAACATCCATTCCCACGAGCGCCCTGTAACAACCCAAAATTTGCAAACACCAAAAATACCAACTATCAAAAATTTTCTGAATAAACCCACGATTGGCGTATGACATGCTAGGAAGCCCACCTAGTTGCACCAGCAGACCCTATGTTAGTGTTTGGAAGCATATGCATTGTAATCAACATATGATTTGGCTCTTTTTGGTTTTATGTGATGTCAATAAAATCAATCAAGACCCATAACTAAAAAAACCAATTAACATACAAGAATATATAACGGTTTATCAAAACTTGTGTAGCCAACCTTGGCTTTGGACTCCCTAAACCCTAATGACCCTTAGTGGACCCCACTAGAATGTATTCATGCTTGGCAATACATGTACACAATCATAAAGACCCAAGGTATAATTAGAATGGAAAAGTAGAAATAGAAAAAACTTAGAAAAGAGGAGAAAAAGGAAATGGCTAAACCAGCCCAGGCAACCGACCGGCCCAGACCGGCCCAACCCGAAGCCTAACCAGAGCCCGTTTGAGACCCAGTCCGGGTTGACCGGTCAACGTTGACTGTTGACCTGGCCCCACATGTCAGTGGCACAGACACTCTGGGCCCACATGTCAGATGGTGATGTCATGCTGACGTCACGGGACCCACACGTCAGGAGCCAACACAGACGGGGTGACATCATGCTGACGTCACGGTGATGTCAGCTGCTGACGTCAGCAGCCCTGGCCCCATATGTCAGTGAACCTGACCCGTTGACCGTTGACTCGCCGTTGACTTGACGTTGACTTTGACCGGACCCACATGTTAGTGACCCAAGAGCCCCTGGACCCACCTGTCGGAACTGATGACGTTGATGACGTCATGCTGACGTCAGCTAGACCCCACCTGGCCGCTCGGAACCGAGATGATGACGTCAGCATGCCACGTGGACCAGTCACAGCGTGACACATGTCAGCCCAGGATTAATTCAGCCTTTTTCTATTTTCAGAAATGATTAAAACTTTGGAAATTCATAACTAATTCATATGACCTCAGAAAAATATGAAACTAGGACCAAAATTCATCTAAAATCGAGCTCTACGCAATGAACCCATATTTGAGTGCATTTGGCTCTTTTGAATTTTCATTACTTCTTTATGCTATTCTATAGACGTCTCTAACGCGACTATAATGCGATCGTTTGCAGACTCGGAGGAGAACCGGACGGACGAGGATCGTGAGTACCGTGAGGAGTACAGAGATGACTACACTGAAGGTGCCACATCCCACCCAATCTCATAGCACCTATTACGTATGGCTAAAATAGAAATGCTAGTGCTTTACTTTATTGTTATGATCACACTATGATAGGACTTGCATGGTAGTATACTTTCTTGATGGCCTTTATCTTGATGCAACCTTACCCCTGCTCACCCTGCTGTTAGACTAGTCACACGCTTGCTACTATATTTTATTGCTTATTACTTCTACTACACTTGCACTACATTGATGCGTGGTGGAAAACTGGAGTTATCTATACTATGGGGAGAGTGCTGTGTGTGTGACTTGGGTGCATGGAGGGTGAGGGTTATGTCGATCAAGTTGGAGTATACGACGAGCCTGGGGCAAGTCTTGCCGTGGGGTGCTACCTGGGCACCCCTGGAATGGATACCTGTGGTGGGTAAATGGTATATGAGGTGGCCCTAGGTGTGAACCTGTGATGGGAGGAGCCTAGGGTGGAGGTGCTGTGGTGGCACGGTAAATGGAAACCCTGATGGAGACATTCTGGCTTGGTCATCCCTAAGGACTTACTAGTACTCAGATTCACTAGGAAGCCTTACGTACCACTCGCCCTATATGGTGCGGGACGGCCGAACTACTTGGTAGGATATTGCCACTACTGCTAGGTTGATAGCGAACAGTGTAAGGAGGTACGGGGCGCGGAGGATTTCCCCCACACCCTTCCGAGACTTCATGGAGACCTTGTGGACCCGGCTCATGACTCATAGTTTCAGCCACCCTAGACTAGACTTGGGGTGTACCAGGGCTGAATGGTAGAGTGGCATTATCCTAGGCTAGCAAGCAGCTGGAATCAATCCAGTTGACGATGGTCAGCGAGGAAGGCGGATCTTGTGGTTATGTAAAACCTCTGTAGAGTGTATGGTTGATCGATCGATACATATGCCGACTTGTCGGCTATGGACCTTTCCTGGGTTTCGCTTAAACTAGATAGTGAGATGAGTCATTCTCTTCTCCCCCTGGGAGTGAGTGTTCGGACGTAGCCAGGAGCTACGGGCCTTGAGACAGTGCTAAGAGGGAGTTAGCCTGTCGACTGAGCGATGGTATGGTTATGGTATGGTGATGGTGTGGAGATGGTGGTATATCGATCCTAGGATCGAACTGCTCTGGAATGGGAATGGGGTGGAATGGGTGTGGGAATGGTGTTAAAACTTGACCAACTGTTAATTTATACTTGAAAGGCTAATACATAGGAAACCCCAGCCTTATAGGTTCTTTTTTATTATATCCAACTTGCATCCAATTTCCACAAAGCAATGCTCATAGGGTGGGAGTGGCCAGTATAAATCATACTGATAAATTTTGGCACACAGGTTCTGCTGAGGAGTATAGCTCCGAGGAGTTTGACGGTTGAGGGGTTCGTTCCTACGCTCAAGTTTGGCGATCTTATCTTCAAGCTGTTTAGAATGAATGCTACTTTTGATTCCGCCAATGCGGCGATGTAATAAATTATGTAATTCCGCACTATTTGTACTCTGATATTATCGCTGTATGGATGTGATATTCGACTGGAATTTGGGTAATATGATCTACAATGGTCTTGTTACACTTTGACTCTGTGGATTTCCCTTCACGGAAATCAGGTCGCTTCATGCCCT